TTTGCTACCAGAATATATATGGTTTTCTGGATTAATACGGTTTCAACATATAGGGTCTGAAATAGGAGAGACGTAGCCTAAACATCCAACATCTTACACTATTAAAAGTTAACTAAATGACAAAGTGAAGAAATCATGGTGGACTGATAGTTTTGTACACTTCAAAAGCGGGAGCAAGAGTCTGTTGACCACCTTTTCTACAAATGCCGCTTCTCTATCCGCCTATAAGGATTAGTCAAGGACTGCCTGCAACTGGTGAGCATCGGTACATCCTCATGGCACCTCTCGTACAACATCGAAAGAGTGGTGGGTGGGCCTCTCCGACACATCTACCCGCAATAGGAAGAGATGGCCTCGCTCACCATGCTCATCGTCTGGACCATTTGAAACGAGAGGAATGCGCGAGTGTTCCGTCAGAAGAGTACCCCATCGACGGTCCTATTCGCCAACATCAAGAAGGAGGCCATGCTTTGGGTAACTGCGGGTGCTAGAAAGTTGGGATATTTGATGACGCGAGGGTAGTTGGTCACCTTTATTTGTGTTGTTGCGGCGTTGTCTGTGTTGTAACACGACCATAAACTTCATTCCTTTTATTAAATGAATGAGGCAAATTTTTTGCCTCTCTTCAAAAAAAAAATGTTTCATCTTATAAAGTTTTCTCTTTAGCTTATCCAAAACCGTATAGTCTGTCTAACTATATATGAGATCTTTGATTTTCAGAACTGTCATTCTATAACGGAAGCTCCCGCATATTTTTGGCTTGGTTTGTGCACAGCCAAGAAAAGCTTCTTACATATAAATTTAGCACAAAAGGATAGCAGTAAACTAATGCAGATATGTCGTGAACATTTTCTAATTTCTAAATCTGAAAAAGGGGCCATTTTTTGAAATTCTGAACAGTTTTTGGAAACCAAGAACAATTTTAAAATTGCCGAACATTTTTAAGAAATGCAAAAAAAAAATGCGAACAAAATTTAGAAACTGAAACAATTTTTTGAAATTCTGACCAATTCTTGAAAAGCAAACATTTTTTGAATTTTTCGAACATTTTTAAAAATTTCAAACAATATTGGAATGCCAAACATTTTTTGAAAAAGAAAGAAGAAACTTGAAAAGGAAAAGAAGTAAAAAAAATGAAAAACAAAAAAAGATAAGAAACAGAAAAACGAAAAACCCATAAAAACCTGGTAACATAAAAATGGTTTGGGAACCTTCTAAAAGGTTCTGAGAACCGGTGAGGAATCTTTCCTAAACCGGGGTCGGCCGAACACTTTACAGGCCGGCCCAGAACGCTCGCTCGAAGCATCGATAAATCGATGCAAAGAGCGGCGAATAGGAAATTTCATATATCATGGGGTGCCTTTTAGGTCTCCGTAGCACTTCAATTGTGGAAATAATCACAACCTGCCCAATAAAAAATTACTGTGATCATTGTCAAAAATGTGTACTGGAAATAATCTGTACTCGCCAAAATAATAAGAATGTGCATATGTACGTCAATGCTATTTCCTTGCTTCTACTTGTTTTCAGTACGGGTGTGGCTAGATCTCAGTCGACTAAGATTTAACCAAGTCTCAGTTAAGTGATAGAACATACAAAAAATAGAAAGAAAAAAATGCACGGATCTCCACATGAGATCCCATGATTATAGCATCAACTGAGACTTGTCTCAGTCGACTAAGATTTAGCAACCCCATTTCAGTATCTTCTAGAAATTAAAGTTTCTTCTTTTTCAGTACCTAATTCTTCCATATATTTGCAAAAGGAAGCAAAATATAGAAGCAACATACATAAACATGCAGCATCCCATATTTATATAAAATAAAATGTAAGATGACTAAGAATTACACAAAAGATGTGGCCGCTATTCCTATTTTCACACGTTTTTTTTGCCAGCCTTTCTATTTTCACATGTTATTTGCACTGCCCTAAATTCACGCACACACAAACAAAAGAGTTCCACTGTCCCTGTTTTCTTGCAGGTACTCAGTTATTACACTGCCCTACAAGTTGCTCAAAAAAAAGTTATTACACTACCCTACAAAAGCAGGTAGTCACTTAACACTACCCTACAAAAATATGTTCGCTTAGCCTGGAAGCAAGGAAGATATATGCGTGTCACTGCAAGTATAAAACAAGCCCCCCTCCCTCCTCTACATTCATCCATCGTAGAATCCAGTTGAAGGCCTTAATCTTTCATACAACCCTCTCAGTTTTCCACAAGAAACTAAATGGATCGGTCCATGAAGGTCTTTGTGGTCGTCTTCCTGCTTCTTGTGGCCACTGGTATATATGCTGTACTGTTTAAGATAACTGTCAATAGTGCTATAGTTTATGAGGTATATGTGAGATGATTGATTTGCTCTATCAATTTGCCCGTGTAGAGTTCCAGGGAGCAGTGCAGGTAGCTTTGGCGAGGGAGTGTAGGTCACAGAGCAAACAGTTTGTGGGGCTGTGCGTGAGCGACACCAACTGCGCAAGTGTTTGCCTGACCGAGCATTTCCCAGGAGGCAAGTGCGACGGCTATCGGCGTTGTTTCTGCACCAAGGACTGCTAGATGGCCCCGTTTTCTTCTTGCATTCATGCTTCCATGTAATAATAACTGAATAATACTAGATCTGAATCTATGCATGTATGATGCATATCCGAGTGCTACTCCTAGAAGTACATGCACATCATATAATCCGAACAAAGTTTCAGCGGGGAACCAGTTCAAGTTGAATAATCCAACACTCCGGAACTGGAGCTGCTACTGTTTTCGGGGTTGAAACGAATACAAGCTTAAAAACTGGAACAGACGAGAAATGAAATTTTACTAGAAGTCTAGAAGGGAAGTCATATTATTTCGTAAGAAAGAAAAGTAAAGCGTGGAATTAGACCTAGCACCACACCTGAAGATTCGGCCAAGACTTAGTGGAGAACCAAAAGTACCTAAAAGCTTATCTAATAGAAATTCAATATGTGAACTTGTGAAATACTGGAAATAATGGAACAACGCAAAAGGCTGCAGCCAGAAGATGAAACTGGGCAGACAGCTTAGTCCAAGTTGAGACGCAGGCATATCAATCCTTGCTGTACAGAGTAACATGGTTTGGCAGTTTGGCACTGAATAATCATCCATAATATGCCATCAGGAAGAAATAAGGTTGCATACAGTGCTGATGAACAAACAAAACATGTTCTATAAGTAACACTAGGTCTAAACAGATTATAAGAATGAAACTTGCAGGAGCAACTTTTGCAAAGTATTGATGAGATAAGAGATTTAAGAATCTAATTCACCAATCTACATATTTTAGACTAATTTATTGTGTCGAGTACAGGATATCATATGACACAGAAAGTAACGTCCCAGGATCGCTGTCCAGCCCAACACATATCTCAGTCACAGGACAAAATATGCGAGGATGGACGACAGGCCCAAGGGTGCCAATTTTACAGCTCAGTTCAATAATTTGGGCTAAATCTGCGGCTTCATGAAATTAATTTTTAAAGCTATAGTCTTCCTCGAAAGTTTTTCTACCAGAATATATACAGTTCTCTGAACAAATACAGTTTCACCATGTAGGGTCTGAAATAAGAGAGACATGGCGTAGACATCCAAGCTGTAGCTTGCAGTATGCAAGGCTAAAACATCCAGCATTTTATTTCTTCGTGCCCCAACCACTGAACCCATGGCAGTTCTAAACCTATTAGATTAAAGTAAAAAAGCGAAGAAATCATAGTGAATTGATAGTTTCGTCTTATAAAGCTTTATGTTTAGCTTATCCTACAGCCTATAGTCTGTCTAACTATATATGAGATCTCTGATTTTCAGAACTGTTATTTATAATGGGGGCTCACACATATTGTTGGCTTTGTTTGTCCACAGCCAAGGAAAACTTATTTACAAATAAATTTAGCCTGAGAAGAGAGCAGCAAACTAGTGCAGATATAGTATTTATGCAAAAACTTGCTAGTTTCAAACAATTAACTTTCTGAACAACAGAAATGAACATTGTACTGGAACTAAGTCAGCCAAACACAAAATGAACATTGTACTTCCAAGCAGTGACAGAAAAATATATACATAAGAACCTGGTTGTGAGGAACCTAAGAAAGAGAACTATAAATCCACTTATGAAAATTTTATTCCACACCTACCTACAGATGGAAAGTCGGAGTGTAGAGCAAAGCTCTTCATCAGGTAGTAACGCTGCAATTGATAACTCATACCAAAACATGGAGGAATGAACCATGGATATGAAAAACCTTAGACCATTTTTTTCTTACTACTACTTTCGACAACAAGTGCCAGCCTCTTTCCCTTTTGTTGTTTCACAGAACAGCTCCATTGGCCTTTTGTTGTATCAGCAAGGCCTGGCCTACTATCCTCCTTATGAACGAATTCATGTGGATGGGAGAATATAATGAGTAATACATAGTACTAGGGAGGCCGTTGATAGTGATACACAATACATGGCATGTTCGTAATGCAGGATTCTACAAGAAGTTTAATACTCCCTCCATCCCAAAATAAGTGACTCAGCTTTATACTAGCTTTAGTACAAAGTTAGTATAAAGTTGAGTCACTTATTTTGGGACGGAGGGAGTATGTAGTAAGTTTATTTCCTAAAGGAACCGGAAGATTCTCACGTCCCAAATGAGACTTGAAGAAGCTGAGACCTGAAGTAGCTGAAGGTTGTCTGATCTTAGTACAAAACGTAGACTGAACAAGCCAGGTTCAGAAACATTGTGTATTAACATGACATGATGAAGAACCAATTCATAACTGTGCCATGATTTCTTCTCTACTGGATGACAAGCAAAACACATCCGAATTCAGAAAATATTAGCAACTACCAAAACTGCAAGTGACATAATATAGTGGACACCAAACATCCAGTTAGAGTGTTAGAAAAACAACACAGAAACAAGACTTGCCAGCTTGCTTTGCAGACTCCAGAGTGAAAACTTCATTGTGCAATAAGCGGTTAAATACTATTTCAGCCTGTTCTTGGTTATTGCAATCTGAATCTAGTGGGCACTTCCCCTTTGAGAGTGGCAGCATAGTCTTCAGCGAGGCGAGGTGCAGCTTCCTTGTGAGGACGTATGAACTTCTCCACGAATACCTTCTCGCTCACCTGGGCTGCGGTGTAGAAGCTTCGGTTAGGCTTTAGCAATCCATTTTCTTTAAGAAACTTCACAACATAGTACCGAGGTTTGAGCCGGGCCTCTAAGCTATAAGTGAGCATTGCCGGCCTGTGAGCAATGTACTCCGGCTCTAACCCAACCTCGGACATCAAGAATTCCGACATGCGCAGCAGCCTCTCCTGGGAGTTCCTCAGCACCACCGGAAGCTTGGAGACAGCAATGGCCACCTCAGCCTCCGACCACCTGAAAGTCTTCTTCAGGAACTCCACCTTAGCAGCAATCTTCTCCTCGCTGAGAAATGCGACAGCAAGCAGCGCATGCCTGAACATCGCAGAGCCACGGGGCACACCGACATCTTCGGCACGTGCCACCATGGCCTGGATGCGCTCTGGCTTGCTGGTGAGCAGCCTCGGCACGGGGATGCATAGCTTGGCAATATCACAGTCACCTAGCCCGCACTCCCGGAGGAGCGCGACGTTGGGCTTGACAACGTTCTCGAGGTCGGAGCTGAGGAGGTAGGAGTTGTACTTGAGCGCCTGGAGGAGGTTCTCGAAGGAGCCGAAGAGGGGGACGTAGTACTGCAGCTTGGAGATGATGGTGGGGCGGCGGAAGCGGGCGGGGTCGACCAGGACGAGGCGGGCGATCTGGGACGGGGAGAGCCCGAGGTCCCGGAGCTCGGCGAGGCGCGGGGCCAGGGTCTTGTCGACCTCGGAGCAGAGGAGGAGAGGGTCGTACACGACGACGGCGGCGACGTCGGCGTCGGAGAGGCCGAGGTCGGAGAGGAAGGCGAGGACGGCCTCGGGCTTGGAGGGGGACTTGAGGCGGGAGAGGACCTTGGAGGCCTTGACGGCCTGCGCCGGGGTGAGGTGGCAAGACGCGACGAGGTAGTCCTCCACGGCGAACGGGGCAGGGCTAGCCGACGCCGCCACGGCGGCGGCGGCGGTGGCGGCGAATCGGGTGTTGGAGAAGAGGCATCGGTGCTGGAAGGGGAGTAGGGAATTGGTGGCGCGGGGACGGAGAGAGAGGAGGAGGACGTGTTTCTGGAGGAGAAGCATGTCTGGCAGCGGCTGAGGGGCGGCGGTGGAGAGCGCTGCGCCGGCGAGAGTCAAGATATCTGACAGGGAGAGCGAAGAGACAGCGGCACATCGTCGCGCAAAATGTTATCTTTCCGAATTTTTTTATTAAAAATGAAACGGCGGTAATTCCAAATATTGTTCTCAGGCCTGGTCCGTTCAGGAGCCTCGAGCTAACTCTGGGCCGTGTGGCGGTGTTTACGTTTGGCTCGGATAGCATGAATTTTAAATAGAGATAAGTGTATGCGCGTATGTATAAGCGTTTGTGTATGTACTTTATTTAAAAAAAAAGCACAAGCTTTAGAGCATCTTCAGCCGTTCGGCTCCCCCAAAGGCTTGAAATAGCGCCGCTTGGGGGCCAACCGGCGGAAGGCTCGGGTTCCCAGCCGACCCCCAAGTTCGTCCCTCAGTCGTCGATTTCGGCCCAAATTCGGTGTGCTTGGCACAAATTCAACAAAAACTAATTTTTATCAGATAGTTCATCACAGAAATCAATACAAATCAAATAGCAAACTCATAATTCAAACACAAATTAAAACTCATAGTTCATCACACGTCGAACTAGGCGTTGCCCTCGAGTCTCCATAGGTGCTCCACCAGATCGTGCTGCAGTTCTTGATGCACCTGTGGGTCTCGGATCTCCTGACGCATATTGAGGAAGGCAGCCCATGATGTCGGTAGCTGGTGATCAACTTGGGCAAGAAGACCTTACATGTAATATGGTTTAGTGTCAAACACTGGCTCTTCCTGCTCGCTCTCAATGATCATATTGTGCAAGATGGCACAACAAATCCTCTTGTTGCATTCTGTGCTAGGATCTGAGTAGTGTCTTCAGCATTCGGTGGTCGCAAGTATTATGGTCCAAACACTGCCACCACTGCCCTGCAGAACTTGTACAAACACTCAATGACGGTGGACTCGCCCATGCGTCTATAGTCTTCCAGTATATCACCGGAAGCTCCGTATGTAAGCATCCTCATAGATGTCGTGCACTTCTGGAGTGAGGAGAATCCAACTGTGCCAGTGCAATCCTTCTTGCAAATGAAGTAGCTGTCGAACTCCCAGATGGCATTCACAATCCCGAGGAAGAGCTTTCGGCTCATCCGATAACGGCCGAAATACTTTCTCGTCGTGCAGTGGAGCGTCGGCGAAGTAGTCGGCGTAGAGCAAGCAATAGCCCTCTAGTCGATGCCTCTGCTTGCTCTTATGGCGGCTCGGCGCCGAGCCACCCTCGCCGCGGCTTTGCATTGCTCGTGAACAGGCCGGCCAGAGCGGTGAGGATCATGAGGTGCTCTTCGTCCTGAGTGTCGGCCCGAGCTTCCTCCTCCAGCAGCACCGTGAACGCCTCCTCGTCGTTGGAGTCCATCACCGAACACCTAGCGGGCGTGGTGGGTGCGAAGCCATGCCGGAGCGCTGGAAAGCTCGCCCAGGAGCGGGATGGAGGCTGCCGTGGCGAATCCCACTCTTTTCGGCAGGGAATTGGCCTTTCTAGCAGCGGATGTGGGCAGGTGGGCGGCGCCAGGATCGGCACGGCGACGAAAGGGGAAGTGGCGTCCTACAACGCTCGGGTCGAATCTGGGCGGAGAAAAGTGAAAGATCGTGGATGTCGCCTAGAGGGGGGGGGGTGAATAGGCGCTTTAAAATAATTACAGTTTAGGCTTGAACAAATGCGGAATAAACCTAGTGGTTAATATGTCAAGCACAAAACCTACAGCAACTAGGCTCACCTATGTGCACCAACAACTTATGCTAAGCAAGATAAACTACTAGGTGATAGGAATATATATGACAAAAAACAATATGGCTATCACAAAGTAAAGTGCATAAGTAAATGGCTCGGGTAAGAGATAATCGAGGCACGCGGAGACGACGATGTATCCCGAAGTTCACACCCTTGCGGATGCTACTCTCCGTTTGGAGCGGTGTGGAGGCACAATGCTCCCCAAGAAGCCACCAGGCCCACCGTAATCTCCTCACACCCTCGCACAATGCAAGATGCCGTGATTCCACTAAGGAACCCTTGAGGGCGGTCACCAAACCCATACAAATGGCAACCCATTGGGGCGGTCACCGAACCTGTACACTTTGGCAACCCTTGGGGCCGGTCACCGGTACCCGTCAAATTGCTCAGGGCGAACCCCACAACCTAATTGGAGACCCCGATGCTTGCCGAGAGCTTTACACCACAATGATTGAGCTCCGAACACCACCAACCGTCTAGGGCGCCCAAGCACCCAAGAGGAACAAGCTCAAGGGTATCAAGCACCCAAGAGTAATAAGCTTCTCAACTTTTCACTTCCATGTATCACCGTGGAGAACTCAGACCGATGCAACTAATGCAATGGCAAGGGCACACGGAGTGCCCAAGTCCCTCACTCTCAAATCCCACCAAAGCAACGAAAGCTATGGAGGAAAAAGAGAGAAAGAACAAGAAGTAGAACACGAAGAACTCCAAGATCTAGATCCAAAGGGTTCCCCTCACATAGAGGAGAAAGTGATTGGTGAAAACGTAGATCTAGATCTCCTCTCCCCCCCAAAAAAAACTAGCAAGAATCCATGGAGGGATTGAGATATAGCAAGCTTGAAGAAGGTCAACAATGGGGGAAGAACACGAGCTAAAGGGATAGGGTCCGTGGCACCGGTAGTACTGGTTAAACACAAACTAACCGGTAAAACAGGCCAACAACCGCCCAAGAACCGCTCCAAAACAGAAACTAGTCCGGTGGTAGAGCGGTACATGGCCGGTACAACCATTGGACTAACTATGGAGCGGTACAATAGCCCCAAACACCGGTAGTACCGGTCAACCGGTACAACCGGTGTAAGAAGCGGTACAACTGGTCTATGTAAAACAGGTAAGATCAAAACAGCCATAACTTTCACATACGAGCTTCGAATTCAACGAAATCAAGTTTGTTGGAAAGCTATTGACAAGAGCAAACACAGTCTTGATAGAAATATCAAGAAATAGCAATTAAGAAAATATACAGAATAAAATGGTGAGAACCCTTTCTCAAATAAGACAGGTTTCAACTCCAACACCGAAAACACAAAAGAAGATGCATATGAAATCGGTTTTCGATGAACTAGAGCATGTCATGAAGATAACCCCAAGCTCTAAAACCTCACAAAGGGAAAATCCAAAGAAGAACCAAGAAATATGATGATGCCAAGAATGCAATGGTTTGAGCTCTCACCGAACAATATGATCAAGCTACTCACTCGAGAGCCCCCCTTGATAGTACGACTATCGATCCTATAATCCGGTCTCCCAACTAACACCATGAGACCGATAAAATAGGAAACGTATCAAGGACAAACCTTTGCCTTGCACATAGTCCACTTGAGCTAGATGATGACGGTCTTGACTCCCTCAAGTTGGACCACCTTTCTTGATTGCATTGGCTCGATGAAGACTAGATGATTCCTCCCCCATACTCCACTATGGGTGAGCCAGTCTTCGACACATCTTAAAAGTACATTGCCACCACAATGGACGGCAAGCTTCAAGGATGATCTCTTCATGATGCTCCACTTAAACTTGCACACCCCAATCTTGACGACGATCACCACTTGATGCCATCCTCCATGGGTTATATGAGATCTTCCTCTTGATGCAAACCCATGGAAACATACCATACCATGGGATCACTTGATCCCTCTCGGTACATCTTGTACGCTTTGTGTGTTGATCAACTTGATTCACTCTTGACTTAGTATTGATCAACCTTGAATCTTTCCAACTCTCTTCATTTGGATGATGTCTTGAAGGTAAACATGAATGATCACACAATCTTCTTCTTCAAGACATGCTTGCAATAATCTCAACACTCACATGACCAATCTTTGTATAATTCCTTAATAACACCTTGTTCAACTCATAAACTCCTTGAAACCAACACATGGACTTCAAGAAATGCCTATGGACAAATCCTTCAAATATAACTTAAGGCAACCATTAGTCCATAGAGAATGTCATCAATTACCAAAACCACACATGGGGGCATCACATGTCCTTTCAATCTCCCCCATTTTGGTAATTGATGACAATCACTTTCAAGAGAGTTTATATAAGCAATTATGCATCACCATGCAATGCAACAACCAATGATACATGCGTAAGAGATGAAAATGCTTAGGAACAAAACCAAAGCAAGAAGAAATAACTCCGTAAACTTATCCACAAAACTGTCTGAAACTTCTCCCCCATTGGCATCGATTGCCAAAATGGGCGAAAAGCTTAGAAGGCCAATATAAATTGTGTTCCTCCATAAATTGTGTATTCTCAACAAGAGAGTGGAATGCCATACACATATCACAAGGTAAATACTTGGAGGAAGACAAACTATATTGAGGCACAAAGATTGCTAAAGAAAGATATGCCACAAAGACAAATCAAATAGAGACACAAGCAATCAAAAGATACCAATTGAAACAAGCAAACAAAAGACACCAATTGAACCAACTAGACCAAAGATCCTATAAGCCACATGAATAAAAGATATTATGATATGAGCATAGGAGTGTTCTAAAGAAACTAGAGAAGCTCCCCATGATTTGTGCACTATTTGTATTTGAATACAACAGGCACAAAATAGGATCATCACTCCCCCCAAAATCAATAGAAACTCACAACAAGTGCAAGTGAGCATATAGGAAACAAAGCCTAGCACTTGCAACAAACACATGGTTGAGCAACATGTAAAAGAGGCAACTTAAGAATAGGCTCAACCAAGATGATGCGTGTGAGTCATGGCAAAGCAGTTGAGAAGACTAATATAAGGATGATCATTAAGCATCAACATAGTCTTGGATAAATGAGATACAAGGTGCAAGACATGTCCTTCCCACACACACACAACAAGCAAAGGGATACACAAGCTTACTAAAAAGCGAAATAACAACCAAGCTCGTGACAACCCATGGTGAAGATAGAAAAGGAAAGCCTGATCAAGATGAGGGATATCAAAAAGGTAGCAAAA